ATATTCACATAACATCAAATAAACATGTTCTATAAACACACATTTACCGAGCATCACATACCTTTTATCCTTATTTGTCATCAAGGCTTGACTTGCATGCGGTTAATCGATCATCCTAAATAAGATAACTAAGGTAAACCTACTCGGTACCACTCCGTAACACCTCCGACCTAGGACCTAGATAGGTTAAGGATATTACCGACATTGACTTACATTCGAGTGCAATGAATGCAAGCCAACAAGCTTCTTTCCTTAACATTCTCAAATTCTTAGCAAAGTGAGTGTTTTCATATGAGGTCTCTAATTAATACGATATAATAGGTCCACATTAAATAAAACTTAGGTATAAAATTTTTTAAATATTCAACTAACTTCAATTGATATTCCTACATTATGTATATAAATATTCAATGACATATTTTGGTTAAACATTCATATCCTTGAAATCCAAATTAATCATTTAAATAAAATACCTATTAAAATAAGTAGAACCATGTTTTTAATTTTTCTTAAATTTCTTTTAGAAATTCATATAAAATTCAATTCAAGAATATTTTCTTTTCAAATATTCTACATGATAAGGTAGGATTATTTGATATTGATTTTATTTAAACAATAATTGAATAATCAAATTATCATGTATTGCATGTAACTAGAAAATAATCCATGAATAGTAATACTAAATCAAGATTTAATGCCTATTATTTTTTATAAAAATTCCATAAGCTAGGAAATTATTCCAAAAATGCAATAAAGTATTTAATAAATTCATTTAAGCGTTTAACTAATAGTTTGGCCACTTAAAATATTTTTTGGACTTAAGAAACTTTGGTTCCTAATTTATTTCAAACTAACCCATTAAATACATTTATTCCTTAGTTATTAATTTCACTTTATGCCTTAACCTTACTCACCCTTTTGTCATGCCATTTTAAGTCCATACTTTTTACCATTAATTCATTAGTTACCAAATTAAGTAATCATTTAGTTGTTACTTTCATTCTACTTTTAATTAATTCATTTCCATAACCAATTTGTTCATCTAAACTATATTAATTAGTCAAGTGATCAATTAATTTATGAAGCTATGTAACTAAACAATCTTTAGCACCATATTAAACTTAACATCCAAACCATACCTTTTAATAATACAAACCATAATTGCTTAACTTATCACCACTATACATAACTAAAAATTAAGTTAAGCAAAGTTAAGTATCCTCACTCATTTTACATAGTAAGCACACACATGGTAAGTCTTCAATATTACATGGCAACGGTCCTTATTCGTCTTTCTTTTCTCCTACACCATAAAAAACAAAGGTGAGCAATGCCTAATAAGTGTAATACATGCAATGCACGTAATTCTTTTTATGTATGTAATGCATGTGATGTATTTAAAAATTATTTTCATGCCTTTTTAAAATTCATTTTTTTCGAACATATCCTATCCATTTTGTATATAATCGACCCTATTTTAAAACATGTAATTGTGAAAACTTCACAAAAGCACTAGGTACCTTTCCATAACATTTTTCTTTACACATTATAAGTATACATCGGATTATTTCCTTAGCGTGTCCTCATTTTCCTTCACATGCAAGAGTAGACACCAGATTATTCCCTTAACATGTCCTCATTTTCCTTTGCATGTTAAAAATATATATCAGATCATTCCCTTAACATGCCCTTTTTTCCTTAAGAGAGAGTGATCATTCCTCTCTCATAACCTCAAAAAGGTACCTAGCCATTCCTTTTTGAAAACATGTCCTTTTCCTGTTTTCCTTTTCATAAAAACCATGAAAAAAAATCATTTTCATAGTTATGATATGCAAATGCATTGTATGAAATGCATTTCTTTACCTTTCATTTTTCTTTTTCTTTCATCAAAATCATGAATGTAAGACCTCTTTCATGATTATGATGTGCAAATACATTTAAATATAAATGAAATGCATTAACATAAATCTCAACATGCATACTTTGAAATCCTCAAGAACATGTAACATAAATAATACATCAAATATATGTTCCACATAAAATAAGTATGCATGAACGCATGTATAAACAATGAACCCAAATCATTCCTCAAACATAACATGGCTGAATTGTTTAAGCAACATAGCCCATTCATTTTTCACATGATTACAATCATTTTTTATGCCATTTCATATCTCTAAATCTCAAGATTAACATTAACCTTAAATTGACCTCTCATTTCTTTATTTCCTATTCTTGAATGTAAAACCTCTTTCATCATTATAATGTGCAAATACATTTAAATATAAATGCAATGCATTAACATAAACCTCAACATGCATAGTTTCAAATCCTCAAGAACATGTAACATAAATGATACATCAAATACATGTTCCATACAAAACAAGTATACATGCACCCATGTATAAATAATGAACATAAATCATTCCTTAAACACAACATGGCCAAATTGTTTAAGCAACATAACCCATCTATTTTTCCCATGATTACAATCATTTTTCATGTCATTTCATACTTCTAAACATCAAAATTAACATTAACCTCTCATTTCTTTATTTCCTATTCTTGGTTGAAACTAGGCCAATGGAAGGATAACTTCCATTTCGGCAATTTATCTCAATTTTTCACATCTAACCTCTTAGCCTAATAAGTTTTTCATGATTTTAATATCAAGTAGGTTAAGTTAATCAAGTAATCAAAACTTCCTACTTAGCTGAAATTCTCTAACAAAGTGACCAAATTTCAAGTTTTTTATTTCAATACCATTAACATCATTAAAGCATATCATTAAACACCTTGCACACAATAGGTCTTAAAACCACTTGTTTATTCATGTTTAAAGTTAAACAACCACCTTTTTCCTAAGAACAAGGATAACCTCAAAACTCATTCATATAGTTCAATTAAACGTCCAATCATCACGATTTCAACATAAAAAATGCATATTCACCAATACAACCATAAAAATCAAACAATAACATATTATCTCTCATAATTAAACCATCAAACCCCAAGGAATAAAAAGAATGTCATTTTAGTCCATAGCATGCAAGGCAGATATGCTTACTTTAGAGCTTTTTATTTTTTATTTTAAATTTTGGTTGATGATGCGTTTTGCTTTCCCTACAGTTGATGAAGTATATGAAGGAGATTTTGACCTGAGTAAGTCCAGAACGGAGTAGGCTCAGTCTAATGAGGGGTGATACTACAGGGAAATATTAGTGCTGTTGGATCACCAGTTCCTCCTTTGAGGCCTATAGTTATGAGGAGGACAAGACTTGGTGAGGCCCAATTCCTTATGAATAAGATGAAGAGGATGGATTCTTTTTTTTTTTTTCTTCTTCTTGGATTAGGCACATTATTGGATGTAAGGTTTGTGTCTTTGCCCACCCCTGATCCTATGGTCCATGGCACTTCTCTTTTTGCTATGGTGGTTGCTCCTTCCATGGTTATTCAGCAACCTAAATTGAAGGGTTCCTCTCTCTTTAAAGGGAGTGGTTCAATCCCAAAATGCCTAAGTAAGAAGACTACTATGAGTCCTTCTGGTGCTATGGGTCTTGTTATTGCTTTGGAACTAGGGTTTGCTCCAATTTCTCGTTTAAAGGAGTCTCGTTTGAGGAGGGATTTTTTTGAGATTGCTCTACCTTCTGAGTCAGGAGATGAGAGGAGGTTATTCATCTATGCGAACAAGTTTCACTACTTTCTGGAGATTTGCTAAATTTTGAGGGTCGTTCGTTGGCCAACAACATAAGGAGGGAAGCGCAACAGACTCTGGTTGTAAGTACTCTCTCTTTATTTTGTCTTGAATTTTTCTTTTATGGTGTTGACATGATGATGCCAACAGGCCTTTCAAGTGCAAGCTTAAGAACTTTATGGGTTGAAAGGCCAGGAGAGGAAGATATTTGCTATTGCTGTTCTGGTTTCCGAGAATAGGGTTGTCATCTAGGAGAAAGAAAGGGAATTGTTGTCCCTTTTTTTGGAGATGAAGGGGATATTAGAGAAAGTAAATGACTAAATGGCCAAAACCCTTGCTAATAGGGTTGTTGTTATGGCCTAAGAGCTTATGACGACGATAGAGTTGGAAAAGGTTGAACCGGTCACTACATCGACGATAAAAGAGATGGGGGCCAGGTTGGCGACAATGGCCTAAAAGAGAGACATGCTCTAGAGAGGACAAATTCTTTAGGAAAATTTGAAAAGCTTATGCTGAGTGGTTCTTGGGGATCGTAGATAATGTCTATTTTTTTAAGGCTAGAAATATAGACATTGATAGCAACCACAAAACTAACTTTGGAATCTTATCTCGTCGTGAAGGATGATCCGGCTGTTTGTTTGTATTGTGACATTTTTTTTTTCTTTTTTTTTTTCTGTCATCTAGATACAGACAATAGGACAGTCCGCTTATTGTAGCTGCTGCTTCCTTTCCTCCGACTTAACGTGAAATTAAACTCTCCATTCAGATTCCTAACATCATAGCTTAACTACTACACTAACTTTTAAACCTTCTTCCTGCACAATTATATTGGATAAATTGCTCGGAAGAGTTGGTAAAACTTGAAAATCGTGAGCTCAAGCATTCCTGCTGCTTCCTCTGGCAAACAAACACATGAAGGGTGCTTGGTCCTGGATTTGCCCCCCTACCTTAATCCTCCGAGGTACAAGCTACATGATGTACTCTAACCCTCCGAGGTACTAAGCTGCATCTGCATTTTCCACATGATTGCTACGGTAAAGGGAGCAACCGTTATGGGTTAAAACCTACTCTTAGTTCCTTGGTTTTCAAATGTGAGTTACAGCTGAAGACCTAATGGCATCACAAAAAGAGAAGGAAAAAAAAAACAGAACAAGATAAGATTCGTATTCCTTTAGACGTTCCATTTTTCATAAAAGCAAGTACACAATGGGCAAGCAACATGAAAAACGAAAAAAACATTTCCCAGCATCCCCATAACATTGAAAGCCTTTCCGGACCAGTACAAGCTAAAGATGGAAGTATCAAGTTAGTGATCAGTTTTTTCACAATAAGAATTTACCATGGCACACTGTTGTAAATCAGCCAAAGAGAATGACCGCCAGGGAGAAAAACTTTGTCGTGGGGATGGCAAAGAGGCTAGATTGTTATGAGAAGCCCTGGATTTTGGATGCAAAGGTGGAAGATGTGGGGGAGACTTCGAAGCTGAAGTTGAATTTGAATCCTCACTAGTGCTACTGATGCTTTCGGAGCTGCTCATGGCAACGCCTAAAGCCAATGTGCTTTTGCTAGAGCTAATTGGTCTCTTTGCTATCCCACTTCGGCAAGGAAAACTCCTGTTCTTTTCCCAAGCATGACTGAAAGCAAGTAAATTCCTCTGTTTCCTGGTATACATATTCTCAGGTTTTGCAATGTCTTTAATGGAGGGAGAAGAGGATGCTTCAGACAGACTTGTGAAAGACTTTGATTTACCATCATAGAACTTCGATATTCCTTTCCTGCAAACATTTCTCGATCATCAGTCAAAAATGAAGCAAACAACATAATTATTCCACAGTTAATTAATTAAACATCCAAAACAAAACAAAACCCAACTAAATGTGGTACATGACAATCATATTATGAAATATCCCATTATTATCTGTGCTATTCTCTAATCATGAGACGCCACTCTAATTGAAACAAGTTTCTCTAACCATATCTTGCAAGCAATTAGTAATTCAAAACTTCAAAGAACATAATAAAGCAGAATGTAACCCAACAAACAATCATTTCTACTACTTCCACTGAGACAACCAAGGGGAAAAAAAAAAAAGGAAAAGAAAAACAAAATAAAAGAACCACGGTTGCCCTGCACATATCTTAATGGGTTTCATTTATGATATAAATGAAGACTAACCGGAGCAGAGTCTGAAATTTGGTTACTTCGTTAGCCAAATCAAATCCAGAGGAAAATAACTAAATACCCACATGGTCATATCCCAGTTAATCAAAAGCTTATCCCTAGAACCAAAAAAATCCGCTCAAATCTTCACTCCTAAAGGGTGGAGTGAAGATCCACCCTTATTCAAAAGCAAGACAACTAATTAACTTTAAAAGAAAAATACTAATAAGTTAGTAACCATCAAATGCTGTAATAAAAACATCAAATTTATTAAATTCCACGAAAAGACAAAAAAAAAAAAAAAAAAAAAGCACTGATTTATCAAAAACTACACAGAAAAAAAAATTCAAGATTTATTGTTTATTTATAATATTACCTTATAGGCAAAACCTCCTCTAATGCCTCCATAGAATCAAGAGTCCCTTTATATGCACTTTGCACCTCATTTTCCTCCAACCCATCTTCTCCACCTTCCGACAGATCACTATTTTTCCCGATCGACGACGTAGAAGACGTCGTCGAAGACGACGGACTACACTCCTTCGCCATCTGCTCCCTCCTCTCCACCGGAGACTCAAAGACCGAGGACGATGCCACACACCCTGTCCTTCCGCGTGTAAATCCCGTGGCTTCCATTTCTCGGTTACAACTATTACCTACCGCTATTGACATGATCATAGACAAACAAGAAAACAAAATCTCTTTTTTCGTGTCCGTTTCTTTTTTGGAGATTTTGAGGTTCTTACAACAACAGACAGTGAAAACAGAGGATTTTTTTTTTTAATGGGTTTTTCTTTGTTTCAGAGAGTTTTGGATTGGATTGAAATAAAGAAAGAAGAGGCTATGGGTGTTGATTTCAGTTATATACAGAAAGAAAGTGGGGGAGAGAATAACAATTAATAATAATAATAAAAGAAATAGTAGTAAAATATCTATTAGACAAATAAAGAAAGAAAATAAATAAGAGAGAGAATAAAAAAAGATTTATTTTAGTTTAGCCTTATCCTGATCTACCTAGTGGTAGTGGACGTTTATTACATTATATGTCAGCTGCTATCCTGCGTTTCTCGAGTTGCTGCTTGTTCTTCTTATCTAACTTTTTGTTGCGGTTTTTTTATTTTAATTTTGTTTCTTGCAAAAGCTAACTAGTATAGGAATATCCAAATCCATTATCAACCCATGTTTTTTTGGATTAAAAAGGAACGAAAATAGATAATATTTAAATAAAAGTTGAATAATGGTATTAAATGCATCCCATTATGGCAAGTTTTTAAAATAAATTGTATTCGAGATAAGAAAGTTGAGCTGGATTCCATCAGAAAAAATAAATAAATAAATAAAAAGATTAGCTCTAATATTGAAGGTTATCATCTAATTTGTTGAAGAAAACGAATGAGGGAAAAGGATACGGGAATCAACATACTTATGGCCAGACCATACTTGTTTAAAAAATTGCCACAATTTCCAATTTAAAAAGACCAGGTTTCATTATTAAAAAAAAAAAAAACGTATAGTGTGAAGAAAGAAGACCGTTAATATCCATAAATTAAAATTTTAATTTTGATAATCAATAACATTGATTGAAAGGTTGAGATTTGACTCAATGTAATGACTAGCTTGAGTATTTATTTATTTAAAGGCTAGGGATATTATCAAATCAATTTATGCATGAATTAAAATTATATATATTTTAAATGATTTTAATGACTCAGTTTACATAGTTTTTGTGTACTCTCATATTAATAAGATATTTCAAAGCAACTATAGAAGTATATTTGGTATATGAATGTTGGCATTTGATAAGCCATTGCATTTCAAATTGTAGAGAATTTCAAATTAAAGACCTAACAGATTAGATTGCTTCAAAACTTAAGTATTCAATTCCTTGTAAAATAACTTGAAATACCAAGAATTTTGGCATTGTGATTTTTTTTTTTTACTTAAATACCCCTTTTTATATTAAATTGCCTAATATATCTTCTTCTCTTTTTTTTTTTTTACTGATAATTACAATGTTTTAAGAGACTAGTTAGTGTATATATGTATACACACACTAGAATATAAATTTAAACAATTAATAAGTGTTTTCATGATTTAATTTAATATCAAAATAATTAATATGTTATGTCGTTGTGTAATTTATTGGTATATATATTATATTATTTTATAATTAAATAAAATATAATTTATTATTTATTTATTTCAATATATTAGTTTTAAATGCAAATTAATACAAGTATTTATATTAAAAAGATAAATATTTTATTATCAAATTAAATATTTTAAATGTTAAAATAATAAACTTATTTTTATTTTTCATAAATTTTTAAAAATGAACTAAACACGGTAGTCACGCATTACATACAAACACTATATTTTAAACAATCACGTTTCAATTATTATATTTTAAGAAAACATCTAAGAATTTGCATGCCTTTTAAAAGTCAATCAATTCATTAAATTTTTTTACCTACCATACTTACGATTCACAGTGGAAATAATTTAACAGTCTAAATAAAAATCTTTTCAATTTTACTAATATTAATGGGCGTACTTGGAAATTTATTTGAAAAAAAAATAGAAAATATGGGCGAATTGCAGAAAAGTGCTGGCCAATTGTTAGAAGGTGAGGGGACAAAAGAAATACGAAGAGGTGGGGCCAAGTGAAAAAGGGTGGTAGTGGTTCAAAATTAAGACACGTTCAAGTATCTTTATCTTCTCAATGTTTTTTATCGATGCCATTACGTGGAACCGACGAAAGTTTTCGCGGAGCCTTATCCAGATTCATGGTGTGGTCCCACACGTTTTTATTTCACAGTTTTTCAAAACGAAACAACACCCTATCTCTCTATCCTTTCCCTTCCCCTTATCAATTACGCTATCCTTTTTCTTTTTCTTTTTTCTTTTTCTTTTTTTCGCTTCTTTGCTCAGCTTCAGTCACATTATCCAGTACCATCGTAATCTTGTGGTCTTCAAGGTTGCTACATAAGTTAATAGATAACCTTATATTTATGACAAAATTTCATTTTCCATGTATATTACTACTACCCCTTTTGGATTGGATTGCGTGCTCAACAACAAAAACAAAACTGCGCCTGCTCGAATTAATCATGGACCACCTAAAATACTTTCAAGAATTTCCAAAATTTTGGTCAAAGTGGATAGACCTGAATTAAAAAATAAAAATCCAAGTCCCTCAAAATTTCTATCCATAACATATTGTTTTTTTAAAAAAAAACGTGGATATATATATATATATATATATATATATATTGTTGAACAAGTTTTCACTGGATTTGAGGCATTGTATATTAAATAAATTATATTGATATTACATTTTCTAGATTTATTAATAATCTATAAAACGAAAAATTCATCATTATTTCGCTTATCGTTATTTTTTTATGACAAAAAATTCATTTCGTTGCTAATCTCGTTGTGGGATCTCTCATTTCTTCCATAATTATTCCGTAACTATTTCCGTCTCTAAATAGTTATTGAAAATCTATCGCTATTCCGTCACAATTTTTGAAAATGAATTTGTCGCTATTTCGTCGTAATTTTTTTGATAATTTTTTAATTATTTTTAAATTTTTAATATTGCATTGCATTTAATAATTAATATTATATTTAATAATTAAAAATTAAAAATAATAGCATGTATATTAAAAATAAATTAATATTATCAATGCCATTCTAGAGTACGTTTCATTAAAAAAAAAAAAAAAGCGACTAAATGCCTTATCACTCATCTTGTTCGTCTAATCTCATATCTTCCTTTTGATACTATGTGGAGGGGTCGCGGGAGGATCGGTTGGAGGCTAAATAGGAGGTTGAGCGGAAGGAACGATTGATTGTTGATCGATCAACGGATCTACGAGCACTACGGTTGTTTGTGCCGACCTTATCACTAAAGATTTCATCGAGTCATATTGAGATTTCGGACTATAAATAGTCTAATGTTGCTTTGAGATCCGGTTTCACTGCTTTAAGATCTCGCCTTTGGAGCTTGTTTTGTATCACTTGCATCTCCTTCATCACTTTCTTTGTAGCCTCGTTTTCCCCCGAAGCTCTTCGTTAGTTTGGTCGACGATGTAATACGACGTCGCAAAGGAGGAGCTGCTACCACTGACCGGGACAAATGATACACGGACCGTATGACTATACCATAAAACCAACTTTGTTTGCCACGCATCTCGGACCTCTTGGCTAATATAAACGAGCTAATTGTTCTTCATATTGATCTTGTAGATGAAGTCGGCATATTGTCTCTTGCCCGGACCCTCCCATACCGCTCTAACAAGCGCTTAGATGTCCACATCCTAGTCAAAATATTTATGCACGAAAAAAAACTTAATATTAACAACTTTATTTGATAAGAAATTTTTATTTTAATTATAAAGAAAACTAATAATATATCACCCAAAATTCATCGAAGTAAAAGTCTTTAGTGACGTCGGTGATAGACTTCCGGGACAATCCACTCTTGTTTACCCGTTTCTTAAAAATCTCAAAGATCTTCATAAAATAATTTCTCCTAGGTAGAGTCAAACTATCGAACAACAAAACGATAAAATAAATATTAAAAACAACATAGGAATTATTGAAATTATATATTAAAGTAAAAAATAATTACATATTGTCCTCGATTGATAGAAATACGTCGCCAATTGGAGGAGGTATGAGGATTTTTGGAATCTTAGACATGCGAGCAGAGGGGTCACTCTCGGAGGTCGACGATGGAATCTCGAGTCTTGAAGTAGGAACACCTATCGATACGGATGTCGTTGCCTCCATGATCGCGCGAGGCTGTAGGACCTATGTAAAAGGCTCGTCATCGAAAACCCATGATCAATGCGGTAGGGGATTCAGTGGACTACCAACGGATGGTGATTCTCATCCATGATTATCGAAACGTGATCCGGTAGTGACTACGAAGAGATGACGTAAACCACAATTACCTCGAGTCATTCTTTGTATGATCTAACATTAAACAAATAAATAAAATATAGCAAATATATTATTAGAGTAAATTAATAAGTAATTAAATTAAAATATATCATTTTTTATGGATACAAACAATCAAAATACACAATGAATATTTAGTGGATATAAGAAAATCGATATTATTAACTCGCATGTAACAAATTAATAAAGAGATAAAAATTATATCATTTCTTACTAATACAATAAATGAAATATAAATTTAATTAGAACTATCATAATCATTGTTTAAGTTATCATCTCCATCATCTAACGCATTTTCATAATCATTATCATCATCAACCACACCTACTTCGTATCTATAAGCGATCCACTTGGATCATTCAACAAAATGACATCCTCAACTTCTCTATCAATTCATGTTGGTGTAACGCCCCCATCCCAGTCATATTTCTACTACTCAAGTAGAGTGCTTGGACGAAACGCGTTACGCCGACATACCTTAAACTCTAAGTAGTGTTTTTATGATATTCTTAGGACTTTAACGAGTACATTACGTATATAACTCCTTAAGATAAAATTTACATAACATAATTAAATACATTAATAAAACATTACATGCGATATTCAATTTCTCACGAACTCTATATCCCAAATTTACGAGATAAAATAAAAACTAATATATGGTGCCT